AAAGAACTACTACTAGTGTTTGAATGCATACAGTTTTATGATATCACTGCCCCGTCTAAAACACGAGTGGATCTGACTTTAATCACATTTGCTCCGGAGCAGGTTAGGTGTTCAGCATAAGTTACCATGGAGATCTACCCCGAGATCTACCCCAGTAAGAAGTGAACCAGCGTCGTAGGACCGGAAACCCAGAGTTAACCCTGAAGTTACCTCGCTAACCGCAAATCCTGCTTCGTAGCACAGGCCACTGTTTTGTTAAAATTAGTTTTTCATGTACCAGTCTTGAAACACTGCCAGAGCCCCTACCGTGTATTTTGTTTACTTCCTGTTTGTCTTCTTTGGGTGATTTGTTTGTCATCCAGCTCTCTGTGTCTCTTAACCCCTTAACTCCTTGTTATTTTACAATTTGAGGAAAGTTCAGCAATCATGAATCCATATACCATTATGTTTACTGATGTACTGCTGACTTTGCTAAATTGACTAGACTTCTTTCTGATATGACTGCACATGGTTCCTTTATCAGAGCATCCTCAGCAGCAGTGAGAAATAACAGTCTGTTTGAGGTTGACATTCACCAATCAGATTAAACTATTCAACAAAGCCTTGTACATTATAAGTGAATTAAAGTATGGTTATCTGACATCCATTCTGTATTTGATAAATGTTCTCACTCTTAATGATTGATGTATAAAGAGGTCTGACTAAGATACAAATCCATATCATTATGATTCTTGTTTTGTCTGGCTCTTTTACTTGGATGAAGAAAATGGACCCTGATCATCATTTGGGAAGTCAGTCTGACTAGTTTGATCTTCTTTGATGTTTCCCCTTGTCTATGCTGGTGCCTTTGAGCATGACAGACAGGCCTTGAACAAAACAGCTCCTCTCACCAAAGTTGACTGAAAAGTCTTTGAAGTACTACTAAATATTTATTTTAATGTTAAGAAATCAACAAATTTATTTGTGAGGTCAACTCTGTCCAAAGAAATGGAAGCAAATACTTGGCTAATACCCCTAAGAAAAGTTTACAGAATCAAGTTTCAACTGAAAGTAATAGTCATTTTGCTAAAGGAAACATCAAAAAAGTAGAGATGGAAAGATAATATTTACATTTACTCAAGTAATGTACTCAAGAACACTTTTTAGGTCATTTACTTTACATTTTTTGTTTCTTTATACTGCTTATTTTAAATAATTATTGTACTCTTTACTCTACTACATCTAGAATATATACAAAAGTTAAATAAGGTTGTACAAGACAATAATGTGTTGCCACGAACGCTATTTTGGAGATATACAACATAATGATGATTGTAAAGTAAGAACATATGTTTATATAATGTAAAATGTTCAATTGCAATTCAGTTGTATTTACATATTTTTAACTGAGCTTTTCATATGGTTTTATGTAAATAATTGTCTGAACCCCAAAATGGTAAAATTAGGGGAATTTAGGGAAAACAATGATGCAGATTTTAAGAGTAGATTTGTCTTTCCCTTTTTCCTCTCCCAATTATCATCTCAAAACCCCTCAACTGAACCTTTTGAGGGGCACTAACCCTTAGTTGTATTGTTGTGATTTTGTTCTTCTTTTACAAAATTAAGGACTTGAATCCAACCGGGAACACTCTTCACCGGCTGCCATCTGAAGCCCAGTTTGCAGGTAGGCAGTCTTAACAGCACACGTCAACGTTCTACGAAGCTATTAATATTTATGAACATCAATGCTATTCATTAAAGGTTGGATTTGAACCATTGATGGACCGGCTGATGTACTTGCTTGAGTCAACATTCAAAGAAGATTTATATGCTAATGAATCCCAAAGTTTCATAGATTTCTAAGATAGCCTGGAATAAAATAAATCACGCTGCTGAATCACTCTTAAGTCATGACATGGAGAAAAAGTGGATGATGTGCAGTCAGTAGTGAGGGAGTTCATTTAAATCTTAACCTCTTCTGATTCTACATGAAACTTCGCCCCTTGGAGTTTTTCAGTCAGCTGAGAGAGGAACTCACTGCCCTCAAATGGTAAATCTAAAATGTATTCAGTTTTTGGAATATTTTAATGTTGACAGATGCACGAAAAATGTCTCTGCAGTAAAAAAGAAAAAAAAAGGAAATACAATCAACTTCTGACAAACAGAAACAGCAATGTCTTCCAAGATTGAAGGTCCTTTTCGTCTGATTTTAATAGAGATTAATTTGCATGTCATATCACTTTATTATTGCCTGTATTTTCTCATGCTTTCCTTTTCAGTTTGGGTTTTGAGGTAGGCTCTCCTTGTTCTCCTGTCCCACCATGTGTTCAGATGAGGAAGGGCATTGTAATTATGATTGCCCGTACTTTCAGTATTAACACATACTGGTTATATGGTCATTACCTCAACCATACTTCACAAAATGATTAAAGAAATACAAATGAAATGATCTGTTACACAAACATATGTCTATGTTGTTCTGGTCTTTTCACCTCTTCATGCCTTGGAAACAACATCAGATGAAAATGTTGAAGATGAAAAAAAATGCATTTGATCTAATCGTATATAGCAGGAGTAATCTTCAAAATGTAGTAAGATCTGGAGAGTAAAATCACTCTCCACATTTTATCCCCCCCCCCCCATTTAAAGGCTACTCAAGTATTGGTGGGAGTGCTAGTTTTGGATTCTATCTTGCAATCAATATCTTTTCTCTTCAATAATGTCAAGCTGTATTCTCTTTACTATTTCATAATAAAAATGACGTGAAGAGAAAGTGTAATCCATTATTTTTGTTCTCAACGTTTACATAGAATCAATTATTATCAGGTAGTCCAGATTTTTTACAGTAAAACACATCACATGCGATACAAAATTGCACGTGTTATATTCAATATTACATTTTTGTTTTGGTACACCAACACAATGTAACGCACACAGGGTGTTTAAAAATGTAACTGTACTTGGCATCTTATCTAATGTTTTATTTATTTATTAATTAAATGTGTTTGCAATAAGTTTATTTTCTTTTACAGTATCCTACTGTATGTAGATTTATACTTTAGTATGGAGAGTTTTAGATAGTGTTAGTTAAAGTTAACTTATGTGTAAACTTCCATTCAAACAAATTAAAGATGGATTATAACACACTGTAATAAAGTTGATTAAAATTGGTTTTCAAGCATAGAGATAATTTTAAAATCTTCATCTACTGTTTGTGAGATTCCTCCTGGGGATCAAGGGATTTGGATCTATATTGTTTGATGATAATTCATTTATTTTATTTTATCTTATAGATTCGACATGCAACGTAACTAAAATGACCAGATAAATGTATTGGAGTTATAAGTAAAATATTTCCCTCTGTGTATACTTAGAATAGAATTGGGAGGGATGAAACCCTCTTTTAAGGATCACACATGCAGAGCACACAGCACACACAGTGAAATTTGGCCTCTGCATTTAACCCATCCTAGTACCAGGAGTCTAGTACTAGGAGCAGTAAGTAACTTAAAGGTGGGGTAGGTAAGTTTGAGAAACCGGCTCGAGATCGCTCGAATTTGAAAATACACAACCGGAGAAAATATGCCACTTCCTTATAGAGCCCCTCCTCCAACACACACGAACGCGCACATGACCAATGAGGGCACGAGATAAGTTTGTGCACAGATGGAAGGCTGACAGGCAGGTAGGCCATCCAGTTATTTTAGCCGGGCCGGCTAAAATGATTGGTCGTGCTTTTTACAGTACTACGGCTTCCACAGATGACATTTTTTTATGGATTTTTTGTCAAAGCACTTAAGATATTCATTGCTATCGGGATGTTAAGAGCATTCCATGGAATATAACAAAAAGTGTATCTCGAGCCGGTTTCTCAAACTTACCTACCCCACCTTTAAGTTAATGTATTTTGTTACTCTCCACCTCTTTTTCTAATGTTACATTTGGGCTATCGTCTAGTTAAAACATATTTAGCATTAATCAAAGGTGGAAGAAGTACTCAGATTGTGTACTTGAGTAAAAGTAGAAGTCCCAAAGAGCAGGAATACTTTGTTAAAAGTAAATGTCCTGCATTCAAAACCTTACTTAAGTAGAACTACAAAAGTATTGGAAACAAACTATACTTAAAGTACCAACATTAATAATAATCATTATGCAAATTGGTCCATTTCAGAATCATTTATATGATATATTTTGATTATAATTATTGATGCATTCATGTGTAGCTGGTAAAGGTGCAGCTCGTTTTAATGACTTTGTATACTGCAGGGTAGTTTGTGTATTTACTCCAGGTGTAACTAAAGTCTGATTTAAGTGTTGTTGAATATATTTCACATAATTAATCAAAATCTGCAAAGTAACTAAAGGTATACAATTCATGTTGAGGAGTACAAATACACATGTACCTCTGAAATGTATTGGAGAAGAAGTACAGAGTAGCAACACATTTAAATACTCAAGTAAAGTATAGGTCCCTCAAAATTGAACTTAAGTAGCCTACAGTACTTGAGTAAATGTACTTAGTAGCTTAACATCTCTGGCACTAATATCCAGACTCTTCTGCCCTGTGGGATTAGGTTAGCGAGAGGGTGCTCTTCTTCCTCCCCCTTCTCCTCCTCCTCTGTCCCTCCATGTGTTTGGGATGAAGTGACGTCACGCAGGGTTGGTCTTTGCCGTTTATTAGCCAGGGGAGCCAAGTGCCAGGTTGCAAGAGCTTCACACTGCAGCTCTGTCCGGCCAGCGGCAGAGGGGATGTCCTACTAACTTCCACCAAAAAAACTTTCTAGAAACTTTCGGTCAAACAGAAAAAAAAAACCACTGACTGACAAAGTGTCGCAACTTGCCTCACTCCTGCTTTAATGAAACGTTTACATGTTATTCTTCTGAGACTTAAAACAGAGGCTGCATATCCACTTTGATAACTCTTGAATGAGCCGCTTGCGTAGAGAGATTTTGTTTGTCCTTATTTTAAATTTGACGTTGGGATAAAGTTTTTTTTTATTCTTTCTTTGAATCATTTAAAGACTCGTGATGGCTGTCCTATCACTAGCGTTGCTACTTGTAGGATTTGTATTGACTTCAGCTGACAAGGTAAGTGTCCGTGCCGCTTCACTGTCGCCTCGTTTTCCTGCCAACTGTTGCTGAAATGTGTCGCTTGTTGTCCCGTGAACCCAACGCAGAAGCGGGGCTGACACGGCGACAGGTTATTATTTTTAAAGTCTTAAAACTTTCACGTTTTGGCTTTGCGAATACGCAGACTGCTTCCTCTGTGAAATACATGTTGACAATGCACACGCATGAGTTACATAAGAGTAAAATAGAGGCATTTTTGTTATTTCGTTTTTTTTAACAAGCAGCGTACAGTAAACTGGGACATCTCACACTGTCAGATTTCCTTCTTGCTTTCCCCGCATTTTAACGAGCTTCTCTTTTCTCCCCTCTTACAGGCTGGTGAAGTAGATAAAGAGGGTGAGTTGTGTTTATTTTCTCTTCATCGTTTTTAATTATTACAGGGAAGTTGTGAGAAAGTGAACTCGGGAGCACAACCTTGGTGCAGTGAGATCAAAGTGGGAGGGGAGTTTGTGTGTGTGAGGAGCTCTGTAATACACTCCCCCCCACTCCTCCCCATATACCCTCTGCTACCACCCCACCGTTCCCCCCCCCACACACACACACACACACACACACACACACACACACACACACACACACACACACACACACACACACACACACACACACACACACACACACACACACTTACGTTACAAGAGCAAACTGCTTCAAGGGCTTTGTTATACAGGAAAGAAAATTCCACTTCTAAATCCTGCACATCTGTTATCAATTCTGAGGTTAAGAAACAAGTGAGCTGCAACAGCGTCCTCGTAGGATCCTTTTACACCCACCGTTATCTTCTGAGCACCTCTAGGGCCCTCACACAGCAAGATGACAGCTGCCAGTTGGGCCTGTGGTGAAGTTTTGCTTATACTCTCTTCCTGAGCCTATTATCAGCCTTGTAAAGCAGTTATTTCACCCACTTATGGCGCATTTCCACTGCAGCACGTAGCACGGTTTAAGCGTGCCGTGCCAAACCCGGCCCGTTTTTTTTGCGTTTCCACTAGAGGTAGTTCCGGCTAACGGGTACTGTTTCACAGTTTTTCTGGCCCTCCAAAATCCAGGTTCTTTCCGGGCCAACAACCGGGCTGAATATGCTAAACTAGTGAGAGAATCGCTGGCAAGGGGGCTACAACTACAACAACATGAACATATTTTACCGTGATTTAATTGTAATACACGTTTCAAAATGATGCCGAAGTAACAACATACTGATACCGGTTAGTAAAACCCATGAATTAATGCTTTGACAAGTCTGCAGACAGACGGCAGGCAAAAAACCTTTTAAAATGCGTGTTTTCTGAATGGAGATCGGCTAAGCTAACGCAGTATATGCTCCGACCGTCCACACTCACAACAACGGCCTATACAGACATAAATAAACCGGCGACTGTACTCGCCATGACACAGACAGTCTGTGGTTTGTACTTGTTTAACTTTTGTCTAGTTTCTGAACAGATATGAGGAGCTGTGAGCTCTGAGTGCTAACAGCTAACGGCTGATGTTGATTTTCTGGGGTTCGCATTGAAGATGACGTCAAGGCTCCGCCTACACTGCGTTACTATAGACTGCCCCAGCTACTAAACTGTAATGGATACGCAGCATAAAGTGAGCCTGGCCTACCAAGGCCTAACTATACCGTACTAAACCGTGCGAGGCCCTGCAGTGGAAATACGCCATTAGTGTGGTTTCTCTTAAATGTTCCACCTCCGTCTTTCCCTTCTTTTACAAGTTCAAGCTTAATGCAAGGACTACTCCCAAGTGATATTTATGAGAACTTGTCACATTCAACATGTTTTCTCTTGGGTAGAAATCCGAATTATTGTCATGACCAGATTATTAACGGTTATACTGTACACACTAATCTGAAGAGTTGAGGAGGATTTGATTGTCATATTTTGGCAGAACAACATACTAGGGATTGAATAATGATGGACAATAGTATCTTTGCCATTATAATTTGTTGGCCAATGCCAGTTCTGATGTAAACACACATTTTTACCATTTAAAGTTGTGAGGAAAATTCCTTTCTGACAACATTGGGTCTGGTTGCAGTTCAAATGTCTCATCAGTTACTTTATTATACTCTATCTCTGTACCTGTTATGCAGGATTGGGAGGGTTACTTAACAAATGTAAACCATTACAAATACTAACTACTAATCAGTAATGTAATCTGAGTATCAAAATATAAAAGTAATGTCATCTGAACACTTTCCGTTACTTTCTGATTACCTCAATATCAAATGTGATGCAACTTAATACAAAACAAAAAAGGAAATAGCAATAAGATGTTTTTTTACATCATCATCGGTATAATGTAAGACAACATAAACTAACCTGCTGTTACGTCACCTTGACCACCCACATTTTTTAAACAAATGTATTTCAAAGCATGTCCTCTTCATTTCAGTTATAGTACCGATATGATGTACCTTGATGTGTACACTTTCTAATTATTATGGGTCTAATAACCCAATAACTGACACTGCTAATTTTGTATTAATGTCAGCTGGAAGCAGGTATTGAAACTCAACTCTAACTCTAACCCTAACTTTAACCATTTGAGATCAACAGCTAACCTTATTTTGAGAGTTTTGTGAGAGCTTTGCAAAACAAAGGCTACCAAATGGACGCGATCCAAAGAGAACAGGAAGCTGCGTCAATGATGCAAATTATGACATCTCATGAGCATAGACCTTGAACAACTTAAAACAAGCGTCTTTTTTTTGGATATATAAGCCTTAATTGGGATTTACAGTGCTAAAAGGGGGGAGATACAGGGTATGCCACCGAAAAGGGGTCGCGTGCTTAATTAAAACCTGTGTCCGCAGCAGGGACTGAGCAGTTCATGGCCCACCATCTCTAGACACTGAGCAACACGGCGGCCCGAAACAAGCACCTTAAAATAGTTTGTTGTGTCTGATTTTTAACCCGTACAGGCAACATTCACAGAAAAAAGATTAGGATAAGTAAAGAAAACAAGTTTAGCATGAGTTAAGTTTAAATTAACTTTATTTTTTGAATTGCATTTTCTTTCATTATATTCTTGACACAATGTTTTATCAGATCGTCTTACAGCATCTGAAATTGGCACCGTCAGACGATCCATCAATCATGCCCATTTTATGTATAGACATTGGCTTGGTATGAAATAGTGCATAGTTTACACTGTTTTTAAAAAGCTGGATAACACAGACTAGTCTTCCCCTCTAACGTACAGAAAGCACAGCTATTTCCTCCAACCCGGTGGTCAGCTGTCCGTTGGCCGAGGCTAGATGTGTAAGGGCTCCTAAGGCGTCAGTATGCTTCAACCCAAAAGCTTGTCTGATGGTGGAATATTGTCAAATATTCCACCGTGGTAGTTCACTCAATCGTTGCAACTTCCTGAAACATACAATCTCAAATGAAATCACAGCCTTTTTTGTAGAGAGTAGCCAGGTGATCAACTTAAGTCAAATGTATTGATATAGTCCAGTCACAAATCGCCTCACTGGGCTTTAAAGGCATGCAGAGGTGTGAGAGAAAGCAGGGTTTTTTGTTGTCTTCCACACAACTACTGCCATCACTTCTAGTGCTCACAATTCATCATGTCTTATACTCATCTATGACTGGAGGCTTTTTTCCTGGCCTTCACATGTGGCCATTCTAAACAGCCATGAACACAATTGCTTTTCAGGGGACACATTGAAAACCTCAGGCGTATGGCGAGCCGGTGTAATCATGTTCATGGCAGCGTAAAAGTGGTGGGTTTCTGTCGTTCACAGGTTTTCAAATTGAGGCGATTCAGAAACCAGTTTATCAGCTAGCTTAGGTCTTTGAGGGCAGCTTGATGTGTCAGGTCTCCGAGATGTACGGTACAGGTGGCCACGCAGATTTGTGACAAATCTCAAATCTCCTTGACTGCAGTTTTGTTTTAACTCTACTGTAGGCATCAACAACATTCTTTCAAAAAGTTTTCTCATTTCGTGTTTTGGTGAAGGTTGATGGGAGTTGAGTAACACTTCTCTACAAATGATCCTAGTGAGTTGAGATGTGGTGGCGGTGAAGGCCACAGCATATCCAATATAGCAGAAGAAGATAGATCAATATTATCCTCTCACAGTAGCAGAACACAAACCCCCAGGGGCTGTACTTGCAGTAAGGGACGTCGCCTTTACTTTTGCTCTTTGTCTGGAAACTGACTCTGCAACAACAGTTTATAAAACGTTGGTATGATAAGGACCAGAAATGAGCCTTTACCGAACCAAAAATAATACATTTAAACAAGTGATTCATTTTATTTTAGACTATTAAGTCCACATTTGACAAAAAAAACGAACACAAAAGATGATAATTATAATACAAAAAGACACACCAAAGGGACCCAGATCACATACAGGGATAGACAATGCCCTTAAGTGGCTGATAATGGCTGTGATTCCTGAAGAAGCCCTGAATGAAATCCATTTAATAATGGATTTATTGTGCTGAATGTATTTGTTTAGTCAGACTAATGAGCAATGCCTTAAATCTAAATTATTTACAATTTCTAGGTGGAAGAAATACTATCAATTTATGCAGGATTGCTTAGACTTTAGCATACATTTATCAGGCTTTTAAATTACTCCTATGTGTAAACTCACCATACGATTGTTAAGAATGGTCGGTGTATGGCAGGTGGACAAGCAGGACAGATGGGTCAGATCAACAGATGCCTTTTGCCATTGAGATCACTGCTTGTGTCCAATGTGGAACCAAACATCTGAGTTGACTGATTCAAAATGTATTATGTAATGTAACTAACGAAGGGAGTAAAGTCTAAAATCATTGGTGCAAATAAAATGTGTATTAAAATCATCTCTAAGATACGGTGGCCCTGAAGTGCAAGTCAAAACAGCATTTCAGAAAACACCACAGCATTTCAGAAAACGCTACAGCATTTCAGAAAACGCTACAGCATTTCAGAAAACGCTACAGCATTTCAGAAAACACCACAGCATTTCAGAAAACACCACAGCATTTCAACTTATACGGAAAGGGTATTCCTTTAGGGAGAACACTTGCGGCCCATCCACACAGCAGCGTTAAAAAAATCTTCCAACGCTTCTGGGTTACGTCACTTTGCCTCACTTTTCGCCGAACTGCATTGTGGGAAGCAGAGCGGAGATTTCCAGGCATCTCAGGATTCAAAAGTTGAGCAATGTTCAACTTTTGAAGCTGAGGTGGAAGCGTCAGCCAATCAAATCCCGTTTATGCAAATCTGACAGTTCAAGCGCTAGCCAATCAAACCGCGTGTATGCTGGGAGAGACATACCGCAGGTCATTTCCTCATATTCCAAAAAATGGAAGAGAAATTAATTATAGCGGTAGGGAATCACCCGGTGCTTTATGACCAGTTCCTATTTACCTACCGGGATATAAACCGGAGGAGCCAGGCATGGAGGGAGGTGGCAGAGACAGTGGTAGGTTTTCGCCTGTTTGGGGAGTTTATATCCAGTTTACTTCGGGCTTTTTTGCTTTGTATGTCGGGGGCGGGAGATTCATGTGATTGGTTGTTGGTCGCGTTGCTCGCAAAAAATCACCAAGCTTCAGATACGCCCACCTCCAAGATTTTTTTAACGCTGCTGTGTGGACGCTCCGTTATTGTTTGTGATTGGACAGAGCCAGCCAGAGAAGCACTGCTGTGATTGGTTGTTTTTGCTGCCAGACAAGAAATTACGCTTCGTGATTGGTCAGCACCCGACAGCGCAACATGTCCCGAAACATCAGCCGTTATATTAGCTGTTAGCACACAGAGCTCACAGCTCTTCATATCTGTTCAGAAACTGGACAAAAGTTAAACATGAACAAACCACAGACTGTCTATGTCATGGTGAATACAGTCGCTGCTTTATTTATGTCTGTATGCCGTTTTTGTGAGTTTGGACGGAGCAGCTACAGGTTAGTTTATCCTGATCGATCCGATCTCCATTCAGAAAACATGCATTTTAAAAGGTTTTTCGCCTGCCGTCTTGTCTGCACACTTGTCACAGCATTAATTCATGGTTTTTACTAACTGGTGTTGTGTTGTTACTTCGGCATCATTTTGAAACGTGTATTACAATTAAATCGGTAAAACATTTTCATTTTGTTGTAGTCTACCATAGTATTTACATGGATATAAGCCCCGAATATTCGCATTGCTCTAATCGCTCAAGTTTCAGGTTTCACCGCGGCTGTCAGCTGTGTTTACTCCTGTCATTCAAACAAGACGCGCTGGAGAGGGGGCGGGGCTTATATCCATGCAAATACTTTGGTAGATACTATTAGTATTTTCACAACTTCCACATGTCTCATCAATTTCATTAATGTGTATGTGTCATCCACATGTTTTAATTTGCATGTGTTCTGGCACATTTGTATTTTTAATTTGCAATGGCAGTGAGTTGGGCTGTTGTATCGTGTCTTCGGAGGGGCGGATTGGGACTAAAAATCAGCCCGGGCATCTCGACCGGCCCACTTCGTGGCTTATCCGACCGGCCCACTTCGGTCCCGCTAGTAAATTGTCAACGGGGGGGGGGGGGCTGCTAGTGACTTATCCGGCCCATCGGGCTTCGTCCCAAAACGTCCCGATGGCCAGTCCGCCACTGCCTTTCGGCCACCGTACGCAATACTTTTTAACAAAGTTGCGCTGGATTGCATCGTTGCTTTAGCGCTTTCCATTACTACCCCCAAAAACAGGTTAATAGAGACATAATAACTACATGTAAATGCATTCAATTGCTGTTTCAAATAGTGGGGTTATATTTAGTAAATGAGCTCAAGGATTATAACTTAAATAAATGACAACAAAACATGTCTTTGTGACCTCTGACATAATTTGAATCCAAAGTTTTAGGGTCTTTTAAAAAACTCCATTATGTAGGTGAAGGTCTAAAAAAAGAGAAGGAATGGCTTTTAATATTAGCCCTGGGCCTCCTTAGGTTTAAGCATTGATACCCCACCCTACAAATTATCTCAAATAAACAGAGCTGATTCTTGGCTTCTCTTTGACCCATGGCTCTATAACGTTTTTTCAATCTTAACAATTTCTCACGCCAGCTTTCCTTCAAATAGTGAACTGGGTTGGATGTAGTAATACACTGTCTAAACGTACATCAGCTCTACACGTGTTGGACAAGTTGTTTGCATATAAGTATCAAACGGCTAACTCAGCCGGCAAACTTAGTGTGATGTAACTGTGAGGTATTTACCCCTGAAAAAGAAGGCTTTTGATGTTTTTGCATTTTCAAAACCAGGCACGGGCCTGCAGTTTGCTTTGGTCGTGGAGATATTACAAACCTCACACAATCCGCGATAAAACTTCCTCCCTCTCAGCTTAATCTGCATCATTTTGTGATCTAATTTGCTCTTTGATATCTCCATGCTTTCTCTCAAAAGCTCATCAATTACATTTTTCTTTACACAGCGTGCACACTATGATTAGTAAGGTATGGCGTTTCCTCAGACGTGTAATTTCACCATTGACACCTGTTTGAATGTCTTAGTCAAAATCTACAAGATAATTACAAGGTTTCAATATTCATGTTACATTTTTTACCAACCAAAACTGACCAAAGATTTTTTAATGTGTCTGCTATTGCACACATTTGCTAGCCAAGTCTGGGTGGAAATTTCCTTTAAACTGAGAGTGCTTGCGAAACCCACAGATTTCCTTGTACAATTGAGTTGACCGCATATTAGCCAGTAAACAAGAGCCTGAGGGTGAATGCAGCAATTTGCCAAGATGATATTGAAAGAATCCAGCATATCAAATTCATATTTTTGTTAAATGCAGCTACATATTATCAAAGTCTTGTGGAATGATGTTTTTTTCTATGCTGAGATCATTATGGCTTAAAAGAGACATTGGCAATTTTATTGATGAAATTATAACCACTTTTGATGCAGCTCAAGGCCATGTATGGATCAATGATGGCATAAGAAAATCCAGCCTCCTCATACATTTCAAAGACCAATGCTTTGGCCTGACATGCCAGCGCGACAACAGCTGATCAAAAACATGCCATCTTAAAGTCTAGGTCAAATACCTTGTAGTGTGTACATGAGTGAGCTAGGGCTAACGTGTTTAAGAAAGAGGAGCAAACTAGTTCAGATATGATATTTCATTTGCTTTGTAATGTCTTTGCAAATGTAAACTTCCTCTTTTTTAATTACATTACATGTTACTTGTTAGACGCTTTTATCCAAAGCGACTTACATACTCAATACTGTGGACAATCCCCACAGGAGCAATTTGGGGTGAAGTGTCTTGCCCAGGGACACAACGCACAACCCACTGCACCACACGCCTCCCTTATTATTTAAATGATAGTAGTAATATTAATACTTGCCTGAAGCCTCGTTCAATAATTGATGTTTAATATTGCACTTTAAAACGTTTTCAAATTTGATCTATAATACTAAATATTCCATACCGTCAACTTCCCAAATATGATTTACTGTTTAATATGACTTTACACTGTATATCATTGGGTTTTGAAACATTGGTCAGACAAAGAAAGCAATATAACTTCCGACAATAGACTTAAAATGTATATTTTTCCTAGTTTTTAGTTTTGTTTTGTGTTAATTTAGAAAAAATATAATATATTTGTTGCATTTGTTCCTAAATCCAGTCAAAAAAGGTCACAAGAAGAGCCCCTGTCTAAGAGACATATTACTTCTACCAACTAATTATAATAACAACTTGCACTAGTCTGTCTCTGCTGCCTTGACATAATAAAGGTCTCATTGTGTTTTGCAGACCAGCTGAGGATCCGGCTGAAGGAATACGGCCTTGTCACTCCGTTCAGCACCGACTCTCACGGACACTACCTGTCACACCTGCTCTCTGCCACTCACAAGCAGCGCGTCAAGAGGGAGGTGTTTTCTGCTGCTGAAGCTGAACAGAAGCTTTTCTTCAACATATCCGCCTTCGGGAAGGAGTTCCACCTCCGTCTGCGCCCCAACAACAGGCTGGTGGCACCGGGCGCCATGGTGGAGTGGCACGATGAGATCCACGACTTCGGGAACGCCAGCGTCGCCTATGGTGCCAACCAGACTAAAGCCGGCGGCGGGGCGGAGAGGATACTGCACCGTGAGCTGCTGAAGACGGACTGCACCTTCATCGGTGACATTACAGATGTACCCGGGGCCTCGGTTGCCATTAACAACTGTGACGGTCTGGTAAGTCTTCCTGGGCTGTAAAGCTTCTCACTCCTCCACCCCCCTCAAACCCTGTCTTTTCAGTACAAAAGTGTTGTGACCTTTTTAACTCTACTCGAATGGATTTTAGATGTCCATAACTCCTTTCTTTACGTCAGCACTCGGCGTTTTTACAGCACACTGTTCTCTGAGATATTCTTTAGCCGGGCCAACGGAATAGCTTTTTGTACAGATGTTTGTAACGGGTGAGTGGCCACCCATTGCACCCCCAAACCCAACGGATTCTCCCCCAACCTTTTCCCAGCATAAAACATGGGTACCCTTTGTGCGCCACAAAAGCTTGCAGTCCTATCCTCCCCATTACCCCTCATAAAACACTTGAACAGTAATTGAGGAATGACCTGGGCCCAAATCTCTGAGACTGGCCAACACAACATGTCTGCATTCATAGAAGACACTCAGTTAGCTCCAAACACTTTCAAATGAAGTCTTCTGCTGAAAGCATCACAAAGAGGGCTGTAACTCACACATCCTGATAGGCAATCACAATCCATTTAAAGATAATGCTGGTGTTATTTTATCTTTTTATTGTTAATCTTTTGAATTTCTTCTTTACTACAATGCGTTTGTTTACCACAAACAAATTCAAGGCAGGGCATTTTTGTATGTGTTTTACAAAAAAACGTTTAAAAGCATTGGGCAATAGTGCATGACAATTAAAGGGGCCCTATTATACACATTTTCAGGTTTTATTCATGCACAAAAACCTATATAACACACTACAGAAAAGGAACAACTCTAAAAAGCATAATAGGGGCTCTTGAATTACATTAAAACAGCCAAGAGAATAACAAAACATTAAAACAAGCTACAATGGAATAAGAGCGATATAAAACACAAGGAAAAAAGTTACAGTGCAGCACAAGATATGAAAAGTTATTTGATTTAATCACAGGCAGTGGCAGAATTGTGTTTTCTGTTTTCTTTATTTCAAATAAGTGAGAGCTGCAGCAAACATGCAGTTAGTTCCAGCGATATGTAGCACATTCAGGAGGAAAAGTCAGAATTGGCTATGAAGTGAAAAGATCCCGTCCATTTTGGTGAATTTATGTGTCACCCAAACACAATATGCCTCTTTTACTGTATGTCACAGAACTTAGTGAACCTTTGCTTACTCACAGACGCTTAAAGTATAACTTTTATTTTAGGCGATGTTCTCCGTAACTCTTCACAAAGTGCCTGCAGCAGGACAAATGTATCCCTAATCCAGTGGAATATTTGATCATCTACCATATGGATTGTCTTAACATTTTGCACAGACGTTATCGGCTCCAAGACATCGAATCCTATTGATCTTTTTCTCTGCTGCCACCAGCAGCTTGACATGTTATTGGCGTGCGTGCGTGCGTGCGTGCGTGCGTGCGGGTGGGTGGGTGGGTGTGTGTGCTCAGCAGATGGCCAAAGGTGCACTGCAGGGATTCACTTTATTCTCTCACATTACATCACTCGCAACAAGGTATTACATGTAGACGGAGATTCTTACTGGCGGTTGTGGGAGTGTGAGGTTTAGAAAAGTGTTTCTGGCTAGCTACAAACTATAGCGAGTGTGTGAAACTGAGTGGTGGGAGGACGTTTCTGTCTGACTTCTTGGAACATTTAAACAGGTTGAGTCGCTGGAAGTAAGCTGACATGTTTTGTTTTGTATGAAACTTGAAACTACCATCATTTGATGTCAGAAAAAACAAGACGCAGTACTTTCCCAGATGAAGGCTAAACACTTTAACTCAGCAGCTATAATACTGATGTTAATTTATTCAAAAACCCCAAGTGCCCTTGTGAAGTGCTTTTCACACATACAAGGCAAATCAATCATGAGTAAATAAACACAGCATTCCCAGCTAATAAGAGCTACAGTAAATGCAACTTAGGTGCTGTTTACACGGGAACGAAACGGGTTGTATCCGCTACTTTTCTCTTTCGTATAGCCCGTTCGTTCACACAAGGCTGTAACGGAACCGCGGAAACGGACCCCTAAAACGATAACAGGTCCCAAGTGGATAGATCTGCGGGCGGAACGCTCCGGGGGGGCAAATGGCTCCGTGTGTACGTCCTATACGATCATTTCCTGATAACGATGAAGGCATAGCCCCGCTCTCCCCACCTCTGCTGCTCACTGCTGTAGCATGGTCATTAGCTACTGTCAGTAGCTACTGCTACTGACCATGCTACAGATGTTAGTGCAAAATCTACAGCTCCTCTACCACAACCATCAGCAACAAGTGGACATGGAGAACTACATATAGAGCTGTCCATGGCCAAGCCCCAGCCTACATTAACGACCTGATCCTCCCTCATAGCACAACCCGGGCCCTGAGGTCCTCTGAGCAAGGCCTCCTAAGGGTGCCCCGAACCAGGCTAAAAACTAAGGGGGATCGTGCCTTTGAGGTGGTGGCCCCAAGGCTTTGGAACAAACTCCCCCAGACACTAAGAGCCTCTGCCTCAGTAGAGATTTTTAAGGGGCAGTTAAAGACCCACCTCTTCCGTCAGGCCTTTGGGGCATCGGAGGAGGTGAGTTAGTAGCTGTCTTTTATTGGTGTTTTATCGTATGTTTTATCCTATGTATTACCTGCTGTTGTTTTATGCCTTTTTATGCCTTTTATTCTACATTTTAGTTGTACTGTGAATTGTGTACTGTACTGTAAAGCACTTTGTACATTCGTGTTGAGAAGGGTGCTATATAAATAAAGTTTTACTTACTTACTTACTTACTTACATGAACTACATGTTGCTAAATCCACCGCGGAGAATAAACAGAAGGGCAACCCGGCAACCATGGCAACCATGCTCGGGGGTCTTCTTCGCTGCTTTTGGTGTATTTTGTGGCTGAAGTACAGCACCACTTACAGGCCCAGCATATGTACTACAGCGTCTCCAGCGGGTCGAGCGGTCTCGTGTGAAGGGACATGTTTATCGAGCCGTATCCGTGTGAAGACTTTTTTGATATCGAATTCGGTTTGTTTGCATTTCGTTTGCGTTTGTGTTCCCATGTAAATGGGGCCTTAAAAGCCTGTATTTAATATTAAATTGACTGTTTAAAGTTCCTAAAGATGTTGCTAATTTTAATAAGTTATTTTTAAAGGGAGCTAAAATTATTTCAAATCCACTCTGGTGGCAATATTAGACCATGAAATAATAAACTGACACTTTTCTGGAGCCACAATCTAAAACTTAATATAAAAACTGGATCTGAAACACTTCTAGAAACCCACCAGAAATAAAAAAATGTAATAGTTTGGAAACCGTTTTTGAGTGAGGCAGGGATATAGATAGATGTCATCCGTTGGAAAGAGTAATTCAATTATATTTAAAACTTGTAACAGACTCTTCCCTTTCCTTGCTTCCGATCATGTCGCAAGAAAAGACATGATCAAAAAGTACTAACTAAATTCATGGCTATGTCTTGAGAAATAGTTAAAAAGTGGAAAAATATGTTTTAAAAAGTCTGCTCCTCCGAGTTCACAATAACACCCAATGTTTTTAGCTGGAGGGGAAAAGCAGTATTGTTCACATTATTGATTATTTTGAATAACATTTACATAATGATGCAGGAATATAATAGATATTTCTCACTTCCTCTCATTTATCTGAAAATAGTCTAACTGCTCACATCTTACAGGTAACCAAGCAATTACATGTAAAGGAAATGTTTTATTTAAAAGTTAATTGGCATAAAATTGAGTATATCTACATATATACTGAGTCATACCTTGCTGTATGACTCACAGTGGCCTCAGCTCTACCTTTGAGAAATATAAATATATTGAATTACTTGTTAAAAGTGAGAGAGACAGTATCATCACAAAACTTACCTGATATTAGTCATCAAATGAAAGGGGCCCTATTAGTTATTTTGGTGTTTTCCCTTTCACTGTAGTGTGTTATATAAGTTTGTGCATGTACATCTGCAAAGGCTAAAATCCCAAAGTTCCCTCCACACAGTAGAAAGTAGAAACACAAAATACAATTACGAACCTGAAAATGAGCATAATAGGGCCCTTTAATGTATAACGTGTCATAATGCAAGTTTATTCAGCCCCTTCAATGTTTAAATGTATAAATACAATAGCACGATGGTCAAAATCACGATGGTCAAAATCAAACAAAGAACTTTCTTTTTTGATGGATACATTTCCATTTGCAAATAATGAATCAATCTGTATGGGTCAGTCCTCAAAACAAATGTGCAGTTGTGCAAAAGGGCCATGATGATGTTCTGTCTCTCTGTCAGTCACAGTTATTCTCAGAGTTTGTTTCTGTTTTCTCCTTACTAGGCTCTTAACTCCCTTTAAGGGTTTTCTGAATTGTCCATTATTTTATCTGAGTATTTTTGAAGTAGAGAAAAGGCACTTGAGTTTGCCCGGGCACTCATGAGACAATTTGTTACTGTGTTTTTGTTGTATTCTCATTTATTCATTGAGATGCCTTTGTTGTGTTAAAGCAAACATTCTGTTTCCCATTGGTGACCCTCTGTTGTAATGTGTACAGTGTTTTATCACACAGCATTTGAATATCAGAGCCATTCACTGAGATCTAACAGAACTTAAAACAGCAGTCGAAAAAAGTACGTCCTTTTGAACTGAACAACTGCAGCGCCTCTGTGCGAAGTCCTAATACATTCTCCCTATAAGATAATGTCAGTCTGACCTTTAATCCTCAGCTCGGCACTGCAGGATTTTGCCATTTCCTTTGATTGCAGCAGAAGGAAGCAGTTCATCACTTGGTGGGCAGATTCAGTCCCTCCAAGACATTTATAGTTGAACCTCGCAGGAGATTCGGGGCTGAGAGGGGGCCACACAGGATGTGAGTTCTGCTTTGTAAATACTGTCGCGGCAGGATGTCACTTTGGAGACGCCAACAGCCCTCAAAAGTCTGCTGCTTTGTGCAGTGGATGGCTGATATGGAATGTATTCATTGTACTTTGTCAACAGCATTTACTCTAAACACTTCATTCCAATCAATAC